GCAGTTTATAAAGTACGGAAACAAGAAATGACCCGTCAACATACCCGCCGCCAAGCGGTGGAAAAGGCGGCGCATACTAGAAAAGAGTAGTGGGATAAGGCGCCGACACGGAAAAATCCCGGATGTACGCGGTGGCGCTGCAGTCGTATGGACAGGAGGATCCGACCGGCTCCGAGCGTTCCGAAGGCCTTCCGCGAGAGGCTTTGTTTTGCGGTTTGGCCGTTTCGCGGTATGGCAGCGCGAAGTGGGCTCCCATTCTGAACTGATCTTTACCCCGTGTTTGCTATCGTTTGTGGCCAATGAAGTGTCATGCCGAATTAGTGTTTAATCGCGCAGCAAACGCAATGAAAGCCGCTTTGGCAGCCCGCTGCATACAGCCTATCCAGAATATCCTTTAGTGGCGCTCTCTGGCGCCGTTGACACGGAGTGCGGCGGCCGTGAGCGCTCGATGAGCTCACTATTCCTCGTCTAGTTCACGGCCACTCAAGCCAGGACCTACGACGTCATGAAGGAGGTTATTTTTTGCTTGTTTTTGTAATTCTAAATTGCCTATAACTTTTAAAATAAAGCGAATTTCGCGAAAAGAAAAGTTTCACTAAGTTACTACGTTCAGTGCGCTCAGGTTCGGTGCAAATTAAAAAACAGTAAAAAGTCCTTGCAGGGCCCCTTTAAAGGGGCACTCAAGTGGATTTTGAGATCGTCTAATTACCGGCATAACTCAATCTACAAGCTGTAAGCATCTTAAAAAAAAAATGCAAGGGTGGCCGATTTTTTTATTAAAAATCCAATCAAAGATTGTGCCACGCCCCCCTTCCTGCGCCGTGGCGCAGAACACCAGGGGGCACCACCGGGCAAGAAGGCAGCAGGGGAGGGCATGCGACAGCCAGTCACTGGTAACGGCTTCCTGGCGGTCTAAATTTTCGAATACGCGCGCCTTCGAAAAATTGGTTTGCCGGAAAGGTGTCACCCGTGATTGGCTGTCGCATGCCGTCACCTGCTGCCTTCCCGCGTGGTGGCGCCCGCTGGTGCTCTGCTTCACGGCGCAAAAATGGGGTGTGCACAATCTTTGATTGGACTTTTAATAGGGAAATTGGCCGCTCTTAAATGTGATTTCGGGTTTTTTAGGATGCTTAGAGCCCGTAGATTGGGCTCTGACAATAAATAGACGATCTCAGAATCCACTTGAGTGCCCCTTTAAGGTTGCTTCAGGTGCATTTCATTCGGCAATGTGGAAGACCAAAGTGAAAATGCTTTTCTTTGCTCACTTCTCAGTCATTGCTAAATAAAGTGTTGTATAACAACTGTTTTCCTTTTTTTTTTTTTTTTTCACTTTTCCTTTGAGCAATTTAAGCATAACCTTTGCTATTTTTGCAAAAGAAATGTGCTAAGACACCTCTGTGGAAAATTACATTGCTGTACCTTTGAAGAGTGAATTTTCGCAATTTCTTTAAAGCTAGTTTAATTGGTTGAGGTCCATATGCACATTCGCGTTTGAATGCATTTGAGTGCGTTGCGGAGTCCTTGCAGCCTGGAGCGGTCGCTTGCTGTGCTACACGCGCCACGCGCCTTCCCGTAACGCTCGGCAGCGCGACGCAAGCGAGTAGAGACTCGCTCAACTTTCCGAAGCGTTGCAGTGCGTTCGACCAATCAGAAGCCGAGAGAGGAGAGGAGGGTGACGTGTCCGCTTCCACCACTCGGCCGACTCGGCGAGACGCATCCGGTTCTCCCCTCACAGTGCTTGCTTTCTCGTTTTGGGGGAGCGGTGGGGACTGGTTTTCCAAGGCTGCGATGTTCAAGTTTGACAAAATCTCGTGGAAGCCAGCGGGATTGTCCCAAGATCGAACACTTCGGCGCTGTCGCTGGGCGCCGCCATGTTGCCGTGGATTTCGCTTACTATTGGTGAGCCACTAGTGACAATAGCGCGTTCCTATTGGCTCTTGACTGCGGTTGACTGCTTGTCAGCGCAACTATGTACAAGCATGGCGCAAGCGCTCTTCGCAACGCAACGTGTCCGCTTGCCGCTACGGAACGCACCGCACTCAAATGCAGATGTGCGTATGGACCTTTACGGTGTATTGGAATGAGTGGAGTGTCTGGTTGACAATTTCAGATTTGTTTGTTACGCCTCCACAAACCTTATTTGTTTCCTGAGTACATACAACATATTGAAGGAAAGTGCAGTTTTAATAGTTTTAACTATATTTTGTGACTAGAGTAATTTTGCGACGTCCTATTAGTTTCAAATGTCAGAAAACCGGTTTCTGGGGAATGCCTTTGGCCAAGGGGAACATAACCCCAACATTATTTATTTGAGGCTTCCTTCACCTTCTCTCCCCTGGGGGTTCCCACCCTGTTGTGACCCAGCAATCCGTTGGTTGAGACCACGGACACAATTTCTGCCTGAATCGAAATATCTTTTGTTTAGGCAACTCCTGTTTTGGTGTGCTCCTTACTTGTTACGGAATGGCAAATCTGTGCCATTGAACCTCAAACACAGATCTGGAAAGCACTAATTAACTCTGTATTCTATGTCTCTTAAAACGAGGAAGTTCGGAATTAAAAAGGCGGTTGCTCAAGACTGACCTCAGGGTGGGAGATTGAGGTGCCACTGCATAGTGCTGTGTCAAGAAAAGTACAATACAAGGAATAGGTCATAGGTTGGAGGCGTGCAGACACTAATTAACTTTTTGGTTCCTAAAATGGTGTCTTTAATAAATAGATATTCTTCACTGAGTCCAAAATTTGCATTGGGCATGCGGGAAAAAACCCCAGCACTCGGAAGGGTTAAAGGAGTTAGGACATCAAAAATTAAACGGGTAGATTATTCTTGAAATGGAACACTCATAGGTTACTTAGTATATATGCCAAGTTTCACAATTTTTAGAGCTCTAGTAATTGCAATAATGAATTTACGAATGTTGATCAATTTCGTCTGGCACCCAGGCAACACTGCTCAAGTTAGTCGCACCATAGTGCCCATAAACCACGTGATCGTCATATTTAGTTGACTGCTCTCCCATTGTAGGCGTCCCCACGCTGGCCCAGCTCGCCTTGCCACGGTAGGGTCACGCATTCTCGCTACTCGGCTACTTCAACGTATACTCCTGCTCTCGTCCCCTTGCCCTTCGATCTTCCACCCTGCACGACTTGCGCAATTGTTGCTGGAGCTGGTTGCAAGCCGGTTGAAGTCAAAACGACCAGCTTCTAACATCTTTTGATAACATCACTTTCATCGCTGCTGCAATCAGAGTCGTAGACTCCGACGAAGCGAGTGATGCCGTAGACGTTGCCGTCTCGAAATTGCGTGCTCGAAACATGGAAGGTAAATGTGGAAGCTGAAGCGCGAGATGCCGAGAGAGCCAGGTCTATGAGTGGGTGCAAGGGCACGCCGTGCGTTGGGCAGGGGGCGTCGCCGACCCAACAAACATGTCAGCATTTTTTAATGGGGTGGATCTGAGGGTCCCGCATGTAAATGGATTTATCCACAAAACTATCTTGCCATTTTCACAACAAATTTAGCAGGATATAGACCTTTCCAGTGGCAGTCTCGAACGAAGCGATTTACAGCGCGTGTCCCTGGTTTTGAGAGTGTACGTCAGTGTTGCCCGACTGCTCTGAGCTGTGGAGTTTCTTGTCAATTGCTGTGGCAGCCTGCGTAGGCGCAACTTCGGATGCTGGTGGCGGCTGAATTGCCGAGTTTTCTTTTTTATCTTGTGTTCTGTGGCGAACGTAATTTATATAGGTCTTTAAGAAAGCAGTGCTCTATTTTTGGGAACAAAAACGAAGAAATGAAAGCTGTTTTGGTGAGTCCGTGCACGACAGAACAGATGCAACTGGAATGTTTGTTTCATTTTATATTCATTGTTTCACGGCACCGTACACTCAGCCGTGTCAATCTATAAAGGTCAAAATATTTGACCCCACAGGACATCCGTACTGCATGGATATTCCCCGCCCACGACATAAAATTCAATGAGTCTCATCAATCGAAGAAAAAATATATTGCACGTACCCCACGGTGCCGCTTTATCCGAACAGGATTTGAGAAAGGTCTCAAACAACACAGCATGTCCAATATACAGTGTCGACGATAGTCACTTCACGACGATCGGACGGAATCGGGCGTGTTTTGGGGAACATGTATAAGAGAGCTCCTATTTTTACAGCTTCAAAGCAAATGAACGAACGTGCTTATTCCGTCGCCACACCCGGAACACAGCCTGGAAGGCTTTTTGGGGATTATCTCGACAGAAATAATTCTCCAAGCACGTCTAACTGCCTGCGTCGCAGGCTGCTTGACGTTCGCTCTCTTCGTTCGTTTTCTGCAAAGGCCGAGCGGGCTACGGGCCCTGGTATTCCCTGGTTCTCACAGTGGAAGATGACACACAGAGTAAGCATCCCAAACAGGCGAATAAAATAAAAACTTTCAAGAAAAGCCGGCGAACTCCGAATGCAAAATGCAGGTGGGGAGTCACGCTGACCGGGTTTCCACAGCTCAGGCGGGTGGCAGAAATTTCTGGCTGATAGGGGTCGCTCGAGTCGCAAAATGGCGGCGGCCAGGGCGCTCTTTTTGCAAAGGTCTATAGGAACATACTATAAGTCCTAGCAGTGTAGTTATCTTGTCATATCATACTTTTGGTGTGTCCTGACCCCTTTAATGAAAGCCCTTGATTGTCGCTATAGTTCCTCCTACCTCTTTAATAGAATTTGCTGTTGGACTTTAATGGTGGCACTCTAGAAGGGCTCCCTTTGCTCATGATTGGCCATCAAGGTGAAAATGGGATCTGGTGTTTAGACTTGAACACAGTGGCAGATTTGGCATCATACACTGTTCCTTTCATGCTGAGAACTCCTGGAACTGGGATGTGAAGCGGTGGCCGCCTGCAATGTTTCATGCTTTGAGCGGGGCAAGGTAGGCTAGCCTTGCTCAAAGCATGGCTGGCAACTGAATGAGGCAGCCCATGTCAACGGGCACCAGTGACTCTGCCGTTTGCTTGCAGTCTGGCTGCCATGAAGGAGGGCAAGGAGGAGAGCAGTGCACCCGAGGACGAGCCCAATGGCGTGCCAGATGAGGGGCGGCTGCCAGAATTCCTGCGGGGCCACGTGGAGATTGGCACGTACGTGCCCGTGGCAATGCCCAAGGCGGGCGACTTCCGCATGGACGAGTCGGAGGCCCTGTTGGAGGCGCCGTCGCTGGTCACGCCACTGCTCATCAAGCGGCCGGACCAGTTTGCGTCGCGGGGAGAGCGGAAGCGGAGCCCCAGGCCAGCCCCCCTGGCCAAGGGTGGGAACTCGGTGGCGGACTTCTTTGGCAGCTCGGCGGGCGAGTTCCTCATTGGCCTGGGCCTGAGCCGGGCCCTGGAGGTGTTCAATCGGGACATGATGCGCCTCAAGGAACGCGAGATGAAGAAAGCAGGCGGCCGCACACCCGAGCTGGTGGCGGAGCACCAGCGGCTGGCCGAGGCGTACCAGCAGGCCAAGGCAGCCAATGCTCCCTACACGTTTCGTGTCAAGCCCTGTCGGGTGTGTGACTTCAAGACTGAGTCGAGCCTGGTGCTGGAGGGCCACCTGCTCACGCCACATTTCACATCTCGCCGGGAGCTGCAGTGCAGCTTCTGCAACTTCGTGACGCGCGACGCCAAGGCCATAGTGTTCCACATGGAGGCGATCCACAACCGACTGCCCACCATGGAGTCGCCGCCCCAGTTCTACGAGTGCCCCTTCTGCCCCTTCGAGACAAACCTCAAGACAAAGGCGAGCGGCCACGTGAACCGCTGCCAGAAGTACTTCAACAATGGCATGAACCAGCTGCCGGCGGGCGACTTCCAGCCGCCGGGCGTGACGGCCAAGCCCATCACGGTGGACGACATCAAGACCTACGAGAAGTTCTTCCTGGCCCTGGGTGGTGGCACGGCCAAGGCGCGCACCTACACGGCCCTGAGTCGCAACGGGGCCCCTGTGGCTGGCCCCCGGCCCCTGTACCAGCAGCTGGCGTCGGCGGCGGCCCTGGGGCGGGGCCGGGGTCGCCCGCGCCTGGCCCTAATCCAGCCGGCCCCGACCTCGGGCCAAGTGTTCCAGGTGCTGGGGGGCGGGTCGGAGGTGGTGCCTCTGCTCAACGGCAGCCCCCAGCTCACGGTAACGCTGGCCCGGGCCCCGGCCCCGGCCAACGGGAGTGGCCGCCTGGCGCCCCGGGCGCCCCCCGCGGCGGCCGGCCAGCGGGCCCGCACACCCGTCATCCTCGAGTCGAGCGGGTCGGGCCAGGCCTTTGTCATCTGTGAGATCTGCGACGGCTACATCAAGGACCTGGAGCAGCTGCGCACGCACATGCAGTGGATCCACAAGGTGAAGATCCACCCCAAGATGCTGGCCTCGCGGCCACCCCTCAACTGCCAGAAGTGCCAGTGGCGCTTCTTCACGGACCAGGGTCTGGAGCGCCACCTGCTAGGCGCCCACGGCCTGGTCACCTCCAACATGCAGGACCTGGCCAACTCTGGCCAGGACGGCGGCCGCTGCACGGTGTGTGGCCGCATCTATGCCTCGAAGCTGGTGGCCCACATGAGCCAGGTGCACCGGGTGGTGCTCAAGCCGGCCCACCTGTCCTACAAATGCACGGTGTGCACAGCCACCTTCAACCTGTACAAGCTGTTTGAGACGCACGTGTACACGGTGCACAGCGGGGCCATGAAGCGGTCTGCCCCGGCGGCAGCCCCCGACGAGCGCCCCCCCAAGCGGCCTGCCGAGGCCCGCCCCGCCGAGACCCGCCTGGAGCGCTGCGCCGCCTGCGGCCTGGACGTGGCCGACCTGGGGGCCCACCTGAAGGAGCAGCACGTGCGGCCCTGCCGCGTGCGCGTGTGCCACATTGAGAAGTGTGACCGGTGCCTGTGCTCGTTCGACGGCATGATTGTGCTGCACACGTCGGACTTTGGCGACAGCTCGGACGAGGAGGAGGACGCCCCAGAGGGCCCGCCGGCCTCCTCCGAGTGACCCCGCCCCCGGCGAGTTATTTATTCCCGCCCTTTTTTCTACAAATACTCAAAGGGGCCTCCCTCCGGCAAGCATCTGGGCTGTACCACCCGAGGGCGTCCTCTTTGCTCGGAACGTTTGGAAACGGTGGCGTTTTAACGGAGTTTGCAGAGTTGTGATAAAGCCGTCTTTTTGTTGTACGCTCTGACATTGAATCAAGTAAAGTAATTTGACTTCCCGACCTGTGGCGCCCGGCTGTGCTGGGCCTTCTGTGTGTGTGGCCTCGTCGCCCAAGTGAGTATCCCCGGGCCTGTGGACAGGCTCATTGTTTGCGGCCACACCCTGTTGGAAGCTCGTCTAGCGTGCTTCTCGGTCTACCAGGCATTAGTTAGGCCACCATTAAAAGGAAGGGCCGATGGAATTGGCTTAGTGCTGCATCAAAGGGCTTTCCCTGCTACATCCCGCCGTGTTTGACCAAAAGAGGAGGGTGCCCAAAGTTCCTTTGACTTTCTCAGTAGTGAAGCCCCAAGCTCCCTTTGAGTTATTGCTTGCATGCATTTCGGCAATGTTGGGTTGTTGCTGGGACTGTATTTGATCATGGTCGTTTGGGGCCTGCGGGTCGGTTAAATGTGCTTCTCGCTGTGGGGTAACGACACCTGCCGAGTGGACACTGGGGTCCGGCGTATCGCTTTGCTGCAGCCCTCTCCAGGCTGGGCATTGGGGAAAGACACAAGCTGGCCGAATGGCCATGGAACAGCTCTACCATGCAGTAAAATCTGGAAGGAGAAAAATATTGCCGTGAGTTTTGTTTGCCTTTCTTTAATGCGTGGAGGAAGAATGCTGTTCCGAATCCTCTTGGTCAGGTGTACCGGGGTGGCTCTTCTGCCGTTGCTGGGAGGTCTGCCACATTCCACTGGCAACGAGGCCCAATCAATGGAGCACCCCATCAGTTTGCATCTTGAAATCTCAAATCATGTGCATAATGGCAGAATCTTTGTTTTTCTTACCAAGAAGTGCTTTAATCAAACTTTAAAAATGGAAACGTCCTGGTTTGTGCTCAGAATTATTCCCACATACCTCCAGAATATTATTTTGTTTCCATTTGATTCTAGTTTTGGTTTTTCTTGGCTCTGGGTTGAAAAAATGGTCCAAATCCAGTTCAGCTCCAGATTTAGAAAAACTGCAGTTGAAACTGGTTTGTACTTGTGTGTTTAAAATACAATTTAAGATGGTAAAAGACAAGCTCCATCTCCCAAGTTGGCTTCAGTGCTGTCAAGCACGGGTGCGAGGGCACGTGACTGCAGAATATTTTGTACACTTGCAAAACCATGCCAGCACTGAAGCCGACTTGTGAGATGGAGCATATTTTTATCAAAAATATAAAAGGGGAGACTGAAATACAAAAGTTGTTCGAGGTTGACTGGGACCGGTGTCTGTATGAAATTTCAGAACAAGTGTAGCGTCGTAACACGTGGGGGTGATGTTAACATAATCTTAGTGGAATATCCAGCACTTGGACGTATCTGATGCATGCGCAGCAGGTGCAGCTGTCCTGGTGGCAAGCAGTGTATCCGTAGCTGTGGAACAGATGTGTGCAACCAAATTTCTGGTGAAGGACAAAGTTAAAGGGCAACTCCGGTCCATACTTTCGATTTTGGGATTATGACTGCTTTTAGTGCAGTCAGCGTCCCTAAATTGCAAGGTGAAATTTTTTTCTCGTTATGGTGCGTAGTTTTAAAGATATCGACGCCTAAAAGTTTTGTTTGGGGCGCGGCCAACAAAACCGAAACTAGCCGCTCGAGGCCCCGGCAACACTGGAAATCAGCCGCTACGTGAATGTGACGTCAAGATCGTTCTCGTTCAACAAGTACGCAGGCCGAGCGCCACCTACTTATGTTGCGCTAGCCGTCTAAAGATAGGAGGTAAACTGGTTTTGTTTTAATTCTGTATATGTGATAGTTATCGAGCATATGTAGCAAGAGTTAGGGCGTATACCCAAAAGCTAGCGACTGGAAAACCCGTGAACTCGTACGGTGCCGTACTCGGCGGTCACCACCGTGCGTGCGCTATGCCGTACTCGTCGCTTGTATACCCAAAAGCTAGCGACTGGAAAACGAATGAACTCGTTTGGTGCCGTACTCGGCGTCTGTCGCCGTGTGTGTGGTCTTCCGTACTCGTTGCTAGGCCTAAATTGTCATCTGGGCTCCGTGGATGGAGCGGCGTTGCTTTACGCCGCGCTGCCAGTGACGTACAGTACTGGGGGCCCTCTCGCTTTCGCGCTGCGGGTCAGTCCCAGACACGTAGGTTTGAGGCTCTCCGGCGCGGGCCGCGGCGTCCGAACACACGTGTGCTGGGCTGTACACGACTGTTTTTTCATTCTTTTTTCCTCGGGCGCGTAAAAGCCGAAGTCCAAAGTCCACTCGTCGAAGAGCGTTCACCTACACCTTCTCCAATTTCCGGTCCGTGGGACACTTGTGAAAAAGCACTTGCGTGTTGCGCAGCGGGTTGTTTGAGCAGCCCACAGCGCTACAAGTTGCACTCGGCATGTTTCGAGGAACAGCTGGGCAGTCTTGGGCGCACCGAGTTGCTCGCTAAAACGAGTCTTAAAGTCCTCACAAGCAAATAAAAGGCTATGCCAAAGCTACACGGGCTACAGATAAAAGCAACGGCTAAACACGCCATCACAAGCCGAAGTAGCGGTGGTAGCGGCTCAAAGAAGTGCACTCCGCGCAACGCCTGAACCGGGGGAAAAAAAGAGAACGATACGAACGTCACAGCCCAATGTTGCTTTAGCGATCGGCAACCCGCTGGCCACCCGCTAAGGAGCAGCGGCTCGCGACGGGTCGCATTTTTGTTATCGGCATTAGTTGAGAATGCGGCGTCCTACAGACGTAATATTTTGGCTGAGGTCGTATTTTGTGTCACTACAGAGATACCAGTAATTTATTTCATTTTGAGTTTTGGCCAGAGTTGCCCTTTAAACCAGCTTTGAGAAGTTGGTGAACCAACAAACGAGTGTAGAAGTAGTAACAGTTTGGGGAAGGCCAGATGAACCATATGGACACTGCTGTCCGATTGCAGTCTTGATTGTTGCTCGTCTTAAAGGGACATGAAATGCATTTTGGGGTGGGCGAAATGAATTTAGATTGGGATTTTACTAATGGCATATCGTTTAGTGGGCCAAAAGAAATGGTTGAAAGTCAAAAGCCTGCTTCTCGGTAGGAAAATATGAAAACGGAGTGAACTATTTCGTACCTCCTTTCCTTCGAAAGCTCTGTCTTTTCACTGGGATAAATCCGCGGCACCCAAAGCTCGTCGGCGGGCCCTAGCTCGCGGATTAGATATGAGCACTACATCGCTATACTTCATTCACCCCCTAAGCTAACTGGTGGGGGCGTGATCACGTTGCAAGGTAGAAGTGTGACTGGCCCAACGAGCACGTAGGTTCCTTAGCACTTTTGGCTTGGGGGTGCATGGAAGATAGTTGCGCACAGTACTGCGGAAGCCACAGGCTGGAGAGAAAGCAACTTTTGTCCGAATTTTGAGTGACGGACTAATCTGGGGGGGGGGGGGGGCGGGGGGGGGAAAGAAGAAGAAGAAGAAGGAAGGAAGGAAGGGGAATGGGAATGGCGACGTGTGGGTGCACAAAGAGGTTTAAGCAAGAGGGGTGTTCCTCCCTCTTGAACTGCTAGCGGTGTACTCACCCCTGTACCTTCGGTAACGCTGTGCGATTTGGGTGTCGAGGAGGAAGGCTAAGAAGGAAGAAGTCGAAGAATCGTTTTTAATAGCTTGGTACATTCTTTCTATGCCACAAAAGAAATCTGGGAGCTGGCAAAACAATGGCAGTGCTGTCTGGACACCCACAGGGAAGATTGAAAAGCTTGTGTAGCTATGTGCTTGTCGAAATGTATTCTGTAGGAGGTCCCGGTCAACCTTTAGTGACCCTTGTATGGAACCAAAACAATAATGCGACCAAATTAGTCCTTGGGTCGAGCTCCCAAGGCTTAAAGTATGTATATAGAGGGTGTCGAAAATCTCCAGGCTCAATCTAAAATAGACCGTAAAGATCGACACCTGCACGAAGCAATCTAAACTAGAGCACTGCACGGGCCTACTTTTTGAGGCCCAGCCCGGGCCCGCCGACTCTGTCTTCTCCAGCCTGACGGGATGCTTGCCTAATCGGGCCCGGTTCGTACCCGGCCCGATGGGATGCCTACCTGATCAGGCCCGGCCCGGTAAGAGGCTAAGGCGTGCCTCAGCTCTTAAATTCAAAGCTGCCATTGGGGGGTGCCGGTGCACTTGATTCATTTAGCCTGATTGGCATCAAAGATGCTGTCAAGACGTCAATATGTCGGCATAAAAATGTGAATGTCAACATAGAGATCTCGTTCAAAAGATGAAGAAAAATTTCGAGACATTATAGAACACGTACAAGTCACAGATTCTGTGCAGTCCAGTATGAACTAAAGTCGTGATGGATTGAAAATTTTCAGTATTTGCGTGTTTCCGGGCCCTGGCCACGCACGGGCCCGGAAACAATCCATACTACTTGGCCCGGGCCTGGAAACAACCTGTGCTACACGGCCTGGGCTTTCGGGTCGGCCCCGCCTTGTGCAGAGCTCTAATCTAAACTTGTCAAAGGTGTGTTTCGCAGGTCGTTTTTTTCTTGTAAAATTACAAAGCGTAGCTCCTTTTCTGTAAAAAGTAGGGCCAGGAAATTTGCTAAGGTCAACGGCGGGCGGCGACGCAGACAACAGAGTTGAGTGGCGGGCAAGGTGGAAGAAACACATTTAGGTGATAGCTCTAGACGCTCTTCCCATGGAGAGCGAGTGACCAGATCGTGTTCGAGGCTAGCCTCTAACCAGAAGTAGTTCCGCGCCGCCGCGGAGGGTGCTGAAGTATGAGGTCCCTCCTCGGCAGCCATGGTGTCGGCGGCGTAGCGCGCTCGCCTTTTTCGCGGTGTGGTGGTGCGCGGCCAGTGGCTGGCCTCGTGTTTTGCTTTGGTGCTGTGTCGATCACAGGTGCCACCATCGTGCACGAAGGTGAGCCTTACTTAACCTGAAGAAGAAGGAAGAGAACGCAGATTAACGGACTCGGGCGACTTGGTGGCGGCATGGCGGCGGTGAGGTACAAGAAGCGGTGAGCGAGGGAATGCGGGACTACCGCTGGGAGAAACGACCGGAGCGGTTGGTTTGGGAGGGATGCTAGAGTTCCTGTATAGGCTCCCTACGGGAGCCAGAGTTGCGCATTTGTTTTCCCCGCGCCGCCACTCGCCGAGACCCATCACGTGAGGAGTAAAGCATCCGCGCTGTGACAGAAAGCCACCTTTATGCTCGCTCCGTCGACGTTTCTCGCACCCCGGCGTATGTTCCCCTTCTTTCCGCCTCCTTTTCCTCCTCTCCTGTTTCCCATGTGCGGCGGCGCGCGCAGTGCCGCTATTCGCCAAATTTAGTCACGTGAGGAGCAAAGCATCCAGGGCGTGCGGGAAAGCCGGCGCTACGGCCACGCTCCGAGGCTGAATGCGCAACTCTGCTACCGTCGGTAGCTATACAGGAACTCTAAGGGATCCTATACTTGGGTGCCATCTATCCCCGTGCGAGTGAAGCGTGCTCCGTGCACCAAACATAATCTGGCCGCCGCGTCAGACAGAGCCATTACCTAAATGTGTTTCTTCCACTGTGGGCACAACAAGAAGTGGTGAGAGAGGAAATGCGGGGCCACCACTGGGAGAAACAACCAGAACGGTCGGTTTGGGAGGGACCCGATTCTTGGGCGCGCCACTATCCCTGTGCG